CTGCCGATCTTCAACAAACCAAGGGCTCCTGAGAAATAGACTAATGAGGGTTGCTACAAGTGTGGCAAGACTGATCACATGAATTGTCCTCAATGGGAAATTGAGTGGAAAAAGGAAAGGGCTGAACGAAGGAGCAGGAAGAAGGAACAGGTTCAACCAAAAAGGAACGAAGGTTCAACAAAGGCTATGGATGGTTGCTGCTAAACATCTCGTCATACCATGCGCCAAACTTTGATGATAGGATATACAGGTTGAATGCTAATTAAACACATGAGATCAATTATAACACTAGCCATAGTATCGATTTTTGAAACTGCTTAAAGCCCACGTAACTAACGTATCCATATGACAACAGTAGATAAGCCACCCATCAATTGCAATAACAAAGCAGATGAATTAAACACCCCCTCANCAGCAGGAGTTGGGCACCCAGGTTCAGTTGAGCGACAGCGGTTTCATCCTCAGACGGACGGCCAGTCCGAGAGGACTATTCATATATTGGAGGAAATGCTCCGAGCCTGTGTCATTGATTTTGGAGGCTCGTGGGACCAGTTTTTGCCTTTAGCAGAGTTCGCCTACAACAACAGCTACCATTCCAGCATTCAGATGGCTCCTTTTGACGCGTTGTATGGTAGGCGATGCCGGTCTCCAGTCGGATGGTTTGAGCCGGGAGAGGCTCGGTTATTGGGTACAGATTTAGTTCAGGAGGCCTTAGATAAGGTCAAGATCATTCAGGAGAGGCTTCGTTCAGCTCAGTCTAGGCAGAAGAGTTATGCAGACCGTAAGGTTCGAGATGTAGCTTTCATGGCTGGTGAGCGGGTATTGCTCCGAGTGTCGCCTATGAAGGGCGTGATGAGATTTGGGAAGAAAGGCAAGCTTAGCCCTAGGTACATCGGCCCGTTTGAGATTCTTGATCTAGTGGGTGAGGTGGCTTATAGACTTGCATTGCCACCTAGCTTATCAGCCGTGCACCCAGTTTTCCATGTATCTATGCTTTGTAGGTATCACGGCGATCCTACCCATGTGTTAGACTTCAGTATTGTCCAGTTGGACAAGGACTTATCATATGAGGAGGAGCCGGTAGCTATTCTAGACCGGCAGGTTCGTTAGTTGAGGTCTAAGAGTTTTCCTTCTGTTCGTGTTCAGTGGAGAGGTCAGCCTCCTGAGGCATCGACCTGGGAGTCCGAGTCTGATATGCGGAACCGTTATCCCCATCTTTTTCATGACTTAGGTATTTCTTTCTCTTGTCTGTTCGAACGGTTGTTTTAGAGGTGGAGAATGTGACGACCCAAAGGGGTCATCACCTGTATTCCTACTCACTCTATATTTCTGAGGCCGTGAAAACCTCACTTAGGGGTTGCCTCGAATTTGTGTGCGCATTCCGGGCGCATAGCCGGAACGTTTAAATATGAATTTGTGAGAAAGATAATAAAAATTTTGATGTTTTAATTGATTAAGTTTGACTTCGGTCAACATTTTGGGCAAACGGATCCGGACTCGTGATTCGACAGTCCCGGAGGGTCCGTAGGAAAATATGAGACTTGGGGGTGTGCCCGGAATCAAATTCCGAGGTTCCGAGTCCGAGGAATGAATTTTTACATGAAATCATTTTCTGAAAATAACTAAAGAAATTGGAAGGTGAAATTTGTTTAGAAGACTGTGGTATCGGGCTCGTATTTTGGTTCCGACGCCCGGTACAAGTGTTATATGTAGTCTAATCAATTGCTGCAAAGTTTGGTTAAATTTGGACGTCATTTGACTTGTTGTGAGCTAGAAAATATAAACTTGATGTTCTATGGAAATTGGAAAGAAATCATGGGTCTTGAGGCCTAATTTGACGCTTATGATGTTGTTTTGGGCGATATGATCGCACGGATGAGTCCGTAGTATGTTTTTGAGATTATATGGATGTTTGGTTTGGAGCCCCGAGGGTCTCGGGTGAGTTTTGAGTAGGTCCCGGGAGGTCTTAGGCTTAAAAGTATCAGATGTTGCAGGTCCAGGTGTTGCAGGCCCCCAGCGCGGCCGCGGTCATGGAAGCCGCGCGGCCGCGGTGCATTTCTGCGCGGTTCGCGTGGCTAGGTTCAGAGGACCAGTGAATTCCAGGTCGACCAGCGCGGTCGCGCACCAAATCAGTGCGGTCCGCGCTGGGTAGGTTCAGAGAGTCATTTTTCTTCCCTTCCTCGGCGCGGCCGCAGTGCATTTTTGTGCGGTCCGCGCCAGCCTTCAGTAAAGTATATAAAGTCGGGATTTTCAATCTTTTTTTCACTTTTTCAAAACCCAAAACATAAGTGGCGATTTTCCAAACGATTCTTCTTCTTCAAAACGATTGGTAAGTGATTTCTAACTGATTTTCTATACTCCTTAACACCCTTAAACATAATGTCAACTTCAAAACAAAGATTCTAATGGGGGAATTTAGGGTAGAACTAGGGTTCCTAAATTTGGGGGTTTTGGACCTCAATTTGAGGTCCGATTCCAAAATAACTCACATATCTGAGTTCATGGGGGAATGGGTAATCGGGTTTTGGTTCGAACCTCGGGTTTTGACCACGTGGGCCCGGGGGCATTTTGGGAATTTTTGAGTAAAACTTTGGGAAATTCACTATTCATGCATTCGAATTTATTAGATTAGCATTTGTTGATACACTCAAGTAATTTGTGACTAGATTCGAGCGGTTTGGTGGTGAATTCGAAGGGTAAAGCGATACCAGAGGCTTGAGTTGAGTTTGGAGCATTGGAGGTAAGTGTTTGATCTAACTTTGGCTTGAAGGAATAGGATTAGAGTGTTATTATTTGCTAATTGCTAAATGATCGAGTACGGTGTATAGGCATGGTGACGAGTATCTATACACCGGTGTCTAGCATAACCGTGGGTCCTTGTATGTACTTATCCTGATATTGTTATGACTCTTCCATGTTAATTGATGTATTCTATGCAATGTGAAGAGTAAGAGAACTAATTACGAATTGTAAATTCTTTGGAGCGTTGGCTCGAATGACACGAAGACTATGGAGTAAGAAATGAAAGAAATAGAAAGTGATATGAATAATCTCTTGCCGGGATGGTTTGAGTACATTGATTATCTCCCTTGCCGGGACATTTCTTATTATTTGTTTATCCCCCCGCCCCGTTTGGTTGTGATTACTGTTTGGGTGAGGAAGAGTGATAATGCACGAAGGGTCATTCTGTGCCATGTCTTGATTATATATGCACGAAGGGTCATTCCGTGCCATGTTTTGATTATATATGCACGAAGGGTCATTCCGAGTCATGTTTTGATTACATTTGCACGAAGGGTCATTCCGTGCCATGTTTTGATTATATTTGCACGAAGGATCATTCCGTGCCATGATATGAGAGTTACGTGAGGGAAAGCACGAAGGGTGATGCCGTGCACTTTATTTGATTGCTTTTGGTGAGAATGAGAGTAAAAGTACGAAGGGTGATGCCGTGCACTTTATTTGATTGCTTTTGGTGAGAATGAGAGTAAAAGTACGAAGGTTGATGTCGTGCAACTGTTGATTTTCCTGCTCTCATTAATTATTGTTATTGCCTCGTTTCTTGTTTAAATTGTTGACTTTATATCCGAACTGTACTCCCCCATAGTATGCTTCCCTCCCTCTTAACTGTTTAATTTCTGTACCCTTTCCTTGTATTGCACATATATACATTGAACTGCACAGGTTGACTTGGTAGTCCTGTCTAGCCTCGTCACTACTTCGCCGGGGTTAGGCCAGGCACTTACCAGCACATGGGGTCGGTTGTGCTGATGCTACACTTCTGTGCTCTTTTGCACAGATCACGGTACTGGAGCAGCTTTTGGACCACAGCAGTAGGATATCGATCGGGAGCTGACTTCAGTCCAGGGACTTACGAGGTAGCCTAGCTGGCGTTCGCAGGCCGGAGTCCCTTTCTATGTTTCAGTTTGTTTCCATTGTACCGAGACAGACATTTATGTATTTCTATTCGGACTTGTTTGTAGCACTCTTTAGTAGTTCGTGAGATAGCGACTCCAGTCTTGGGTAGTGAAATATTAGACTTCCGCATTTTGGGTTTTCAGTTATTTATGTTTTAAAGACTCGTTATTTTATTATTGTTATGTTGTTATCCAAAAATGTTTAAATGTTTGGCTTGCCTAGCTCCAACAGTAGGCGCCATCACGACTCCCGATGGTGGGAAATCCGGGTCGTGACAACACTGCCATTATTTTATCTCACTATTATAGAAGCATGGTTATACTGATAATGTATAGAAGTAATTACAATTAACCTATGTGTTCACTGAACTTAGACTAGCACTTTCTATTACTCTTCTGTAAGCTGAGTTACTGAGCATTATGTTTCATGGTTTAGCAACTGTTGTATTAGGAATTAGTTGTCATGTTTCATAAATTGCTGATAAAATATATATTGGATGCTTTCTTGAATAATTTTCTAAACCCTCCATCCCCTTTAAAACACCATTATGTATATGCTTTGATTGACAATTTTCTAAACTTTCCTTTGCCCCTGTTTAAAGAGTACAACATCTCTGGTCCATTAATCGTACGAGGGGACTGCAGATAAATTCATGAAACAGAGATTTATAGATAAATTGTGATTGTGGCTCTGAAATTAAAGTGTGATCCTCTGCGTATCCATGTTACCAAGGGAAGTCTTTTCCTTTTATGCTTTATCTGTTTACATTTTAGTAGTCAATGATTTCCAGTGCTAAAAGATAGTGTTAGTAATTTTTGCAATGTTATAGAGCGGACATAAGGCACCCTTATATTTAAGTTTTCCTTGACATGTAGGTCTTCTTTCGATAAAATATGGAGCAAATGTGACAAGCAATGATGCATGGTGCTTGAACAAGCGTTGGATGAACCCAATATCAAATTTAAGACGACGCCCACCTGGTGTCATTAGCCATTCAGTATATTCAACACAAATCCTGTAATGATGTGAGGTGTGCTCAATTTATGGTGTTGGCTGCTCCTAATGCTTGTTAAGTTATACTTGATAAGTTGTTATTTTTTTAGACTAATAGGCTGGTTAGTGTTCGAATTATCTTTGACATAAATGCTATATTTTCCTATATGGAGAAAAATTACGTTGCAATTTGATCTCCTAAGTCAGCTCCGTTGATGGTATCCGCAAAGATGATCTTTGTTTCCTTTATAGCCCAAATGTCCTCCATTAATTTTAAAATTTTAGTGAGGTTCGGTCCTCCCATCTTTATATTCTACCTAATTACACGATATAAATAAACAATAATGTTTTAATGGTTCTGTACCTATTTTATTACAACGCCACATGATTCTTTATGCTCTGCACATATTTTTTATAGGAATATTGTCCTAATCCATTTAATAAATACTTTTTCTTAAATGTATTTGCTTCTGCAATGTCGTTGGTAGCTCTATCCATGTATAACAAAGATGAGGGATTATATAGATGATATTTTGTCAAAGTTAACTAATGAAATTTCTTAAACTTCTACACACATTGTATCACTTAGTTGATGAGTGTTAAAATAGCCGTTTTCCCATTTTATTTGATGTTGAATATTTGAATCATACTACCAATTGCTATAAAAAAAAAGTAAAAAGAAGTTGTCTTCAACAACCATTTTTCTACTAATGTGCTACTGCATAGATTCAAGATGGAAGTTGAAAAGACTAGATATATATACTTAATTGATTTGTAATTAATATACTTAATGAATTCAATTCTTACCATCCTTTACTTAATACGGTTTTATGCACTATACATAGAGTTTATTCTAGATAAATAAATAAAAAATAGTAGGAAACGATGCATGTTGGAGTGTTTCACATGATGATTAAAAAAAATAATGACACTGACAAAAATGAGAATGGTATAAAGTAAAATCAGCAGCTTTGGTGGCTAATACAATGTTCATTCTTTGGTTTCTCCATTAATTTTTGTCTCTTACATACAATCACCATTTTATAAATCCCTCAAACAGATAACCAAAAACCAGCAAGAAAAAGCAATTCCAAAAGAAATTAGAAGTGAGGAAATCCATGGCAGAGAAGGAAGGAGCAATTGTCAAGAAGGGTCATGAGGAAGGTTTGAAAATGGCGCTTTCCCTTCTTGAAGAATACGAACTTCCAGCAGGGCTTCTCCCTCTAGCTGAAGTAATCGAAGTTGGATTCGTTAAAACCACCGGCTACATGTGGATCCTGCAGCAGAAAAAAGTTGAGCATAACTTCAAGATGATAAGTAAACTGGTTAGTTATGGTACCGAAATAACTGGATACGTTGAGAAGAAGCGGATCAAGAAACTCAAGGGAGTTAAGGCTAAGGAGCTGATGCTATGGCCTCCAGTCGGTGACATCACAGTGGATCCTCCTACTGGCAAGATTCACTTCAAGAGTCTTGCTGGAATCACGAAAACTTTCCCAGTTGAGGCTTTTGCCGCTGGACAGTAAGGGGAGAAAGCCTATCATCTTCTGATCCACCAACAACCTGGCATATCTTCAGATTTATATGTATTTCCGTAATGTTTGTTTTCTTCCTATGCCTGAACCTGTTTGACGGTCACCTACACGTTGAGCCAAATAAGAATTTGCCGTTAGATGTTTTTTCATGAAAGGAATGATAAAAAATACATTCTGTGTTACCATGCAACATTCATTTCTGTCCAGTCTTAGAGCTGAAAATCACACAAAGTTACACAAAGTGAAAGAAGAATTCTAGATATAAACAGAAAGTAACGAATTATTTCAGCATAAGGAAAGCTTGCTAAAAGGAGGAAGTGATATTCTTATCGTACATTCTCGTCATGCATCCTGCTGTTGACAAACAATTTGTCAAATTAAAGTTGTGCTACTGAATAACTAAAGCTAAAAAATAATTGGTGTTGATCATTGCAGATGCTTCAAACACTTGATAATAGAAGTAATCATACTACAGCTAAGGATTAAATCAACATAAGCAATCATACTAGAGCTAAGAATTAAAACAAGAGACCAAAATCTGTTATCCTAGAAAAGTCCTTTTGATAATGATCGATCATCTTATAGAAATCAAGAAACCAAAATATCTCATGCTACAGCCTATAGAAAAGTGATCGGTAAGAAGTAAGAATACACTTACTTTATCATTATCTCCACAGAAACTGTCTTATTCTAGCAAATACCGCCCATTTTAAATCTAATAAAGCAAATTACAGAAACAAATAGGTACTAGTGCTCTGCTATGCAAAGTACGTGCCATCAACTCAGCGGAAAAAATTTCATATCAATCAGTAAGAGAACTTCAAATGAAAAGTGAAACGCTAGAACCAGAACTGTCTATGACTAGCTTATCTAGAGAAACTATAATGAGACTCGAGAGAAACAAAAATACAGGGTCTCAAAACCAACATAATGGCAGCACAGAGGCTTAAAAAACCAACATATTATATGCAACATAGCGTATGGAACAGTCAATCTCTCCTGAAATGAACAACGAAAGATGAGAGCATACATAAGATATTTACTCCAGAAACTTTGGACTAACAAGAATTTACTCTCTTTTTTCCAATTTCCACCCAGGCTCCGAACGCTTAGGTGAACCTTCTATTGATAATAAAAATGAAGATTAAAATGGATAATTGCAACTCGATAACAAAAATCTATTATTATACATGCTTCCAAATCCTATGACAAAGCTCAGAAATTTGAAGGACATCCGTATGTTTAAAGTGAGATACTTTTTTTTTTTTGATAAATGAGAAATCACCGCGAGCTAGTGGTGCATTGTTCAAAACTCAGTGGACAATGGACTCGCCCCTTTACCCTTCTCCACTTAAATACCAGGCTATCTACGGCAGGGTTTGAATCAATGATGTTCGCCTAATCCACACATCACATGATGCGCTCTTACCACTAGACCAAAGCCCCGAGGGCATGTTGACTATGAGATGCTTTTTTTTTTTTTTTTTTGATAACCTGTTGACTGTAAGATACTTATCTTGCCGATACTCAGGTTAAGACATATTGGCAAGTGGAAGGATAGTTCAGAGCTAGCAACAGATTAAGGATGGATTAAATAAAAATTCATGGCAGTGGGAGCTTTAAACAGATTTTGACACTAAAAAATTCTGTATGAAAAATCAATACCTATGCACTGGTTATTGCAGGTGCTTGAAGCAACCAGTTTATATAAGAGATTTTTTTCACGATCAAATAGTTGCTTCTGTTTAGTAGAGGCATAAGCTTATGGAACAAGCTGCTCCGAATACGGCAGGAGAATGGCTGCTACAGACAAATAAAATAGACCAAATCATTTTGAGATACAATAAAACCTAATTATATTTAACAAAATAGTGGAAAACAGCAAGCTCAACAGAAATTACAAAAGCAACACTAATATATATGAAGTTTAATAGTGCAACAGGCACAGCTACAGTTCATACCCTACCAGGTCCTAGGAAGTACTTTCGGGAAGTGAGTGAGTCTATAACTATAAGTACCTCAGTCACTTTGAAGATATCAAGAGATTTATCATCCACAACTTTCAAATAAGAATAAAACACATATATTACAATCCCTTCCAAACAATGGCTTTGAATCTTCATTGTAAAGTTCTTGATGTGGGCTTCTCTGGCTAGTTGCATTACCTATCTTCTATGAGGGCAACATAAGCGGTGCTCATAGCTTATTATGGGTGTGTCGACAAAGCTAACACTAGAAAACGCAAAACAAAACAAAACAAAACAAAACAAAACAAAACAAAACAAAACAAAAGAGAATGTAAAATCTGTTTATTTTTTCACAATGATGGGACTCTAGCTTCACAAACGTGGTATCGATAAATTTGCTGATCAAACGAATGAGTTTTAAGCTTGTCATGACGGAAATAGAGGCCCACCTTATTAAAATTCATAAACATCAACATCATTCAAGTACAGAAATGTTACTGTAGTTTTTCTAACACCGGTTGGAGGAGAAACAGAACAGTAATGCAATTTAAGACAGATATGCTGTATGTAAGCAAGAAAGAATCTCTCATTTAACTTGGCTACCTTTACCTTTACCAAAATCTAACTAAATGTGTGTATTCTCTAACTCCATAACTAACTCTTTCAAAAACAGTAGCATCTTGTTGGGCATTTTCAACTGTGGGACTACGGAAGGAATTAACCAAATCACAACTGGCAAGCTAAGCTCATTATCAGAGCAAAGACTTGGACTGATGATGTATTTAGTATTTACATTCACAGTTTAGAATAATGGAGAAGGAGTCAACTCATGCTGCTAAGGTTACATGGTATGAAGATGTCATGTCCCAGCATAGAGTGAGTCAGGTCTGCTAAAAGCTGTTGTTAAACAACCTATATACACAGTGATTTATGTGAGTGGAGTCACATTTCAATTCTATGTTACACTGGACTCTGTTATGCATGGAATTCTACCTCGAGTTTAGAACTACTTTATCGTAATTCCTTACATGTTGCATCATCCTGATGCCTGGTATCCCTTGCTCTACATCTCAGCATTCAGGAAAGCAATACGAATTTGATATACCTTGAGAATTTAATCAGGATGACCATGAATCAGCGCATGTATACATGACATATAACATATTCTGAGGCAAGGAGAATATATAGCAATGCTTTGATGTAACAGATACTCATTTCAAACACACAATAGGTATTCAATTTTTTCATATTTTTAGTTAATTGACTATTAGCAAGCTGATTCAAGAGAAGAAAATGTATTGAGGTTGTTTTAAAAAAAAAAACTTTCTTAAAAGTAACTTTAAATATTATTTGAGCAAAGTTGCTATTCATGTCAAGGTTGTCACAAGAAAACAAAAGAAAATGACTCAAAATCTATACACTTAATAATGAAATTCTAAACTACCTCCTCATCAAACCCTTTCCTGGTTTTCATATTTCCAACTATATCAAGCTTTTTTTTTTAAATTTAAAATCTTAACAAAAAGAATAACAGGAGTAAACTTATTTCTTAATTATCAGAAGTGCCAGTAAATGATTTGACAATTTCCCAAATCAAAGTAGGAAAGCGAGAGGAAAGATGATTTCAACCATCAATCAGAACTAGCTCAAGCTTTAGATAATTCAAGTATTAACACATTTATTTGCTGCACAACTTAGTCGGAAGACACTTGTCTATACACGAACTAGGATGGGGTATTAAAAACTCAGCATATAGTGATGAACTGTTCAGCATTTGCTTCCTTTAATGTAAATCAAACATACCCGTTTTAGCTCTTACTCTTGTAGAAGCATTAAAAAGCCAAGATGTTTCTTTATACAAATGTAGAATAGTTTACTGGGAGAAACAGAACTTCTCTTCCCAGAAAAGAAAGGAAAAGCCAGAGTTATTAAAGTCAGAACATATACAGAGAATACAAAGAAAATATACGGCATAGATGACATGATGGAGTTAAGAGAGCAAAAGATAAAGATAGACACAGAAGAAACATAATTTGTTCATTTATATTCAACTACTATACTTCCCCCTCTTTATATTAAAATATGGAACTCGTGCAAATTTACAGAGCGAAAAGTTTAACAAAAATACCTCCTATTCTCTCGCGGAATCAGTCCAAAAAAAAGGTCAAGTTTTTTGTCTGTGAATATTGTTTACATAAATCAAAATTAGGTCTAAACTGACCAGCTATATCTTCAATGGTTGAAAACATGCAAGTCCAACAGCGTTTTATAATACCCCTTCTCTATCTCCTCTTCTTCTACCTGATGAAGGAGAAGGGTTTCAATAATGAAATCTTCCCAATCAACATCAACTTTCATTTTCCTTCTCCTTTTCTTTCCACCATTTACATGTTCAACGGGACATTGTTCAATCTTATCAATTGAACCAGCATCCGAAGGATACATTGTCTTATGGATTCGACACTTTGCAGCCTTTATTTTTGCTTTTCTCCTTTCATTTGCCGAGCAACCTCTATCAAACGAAGGAGGCGTAGTACTCAATCCCACATCCTTCTCCAGTATTTGCTTCACTAAAAGCTTTTTGCTCATTTCCGATTCGCCCTGCCACCAGTCATACGTACTCTTCGTTTCCCTTTCTTTACTATATCTGCTATTTGCAGATTCCAGTACAGAAACTTGATTCTTAATCTTTGTATAAATCATCGCCAAACACTCTTGGGAAATCTGGAATCTATTCGGACTTTCAATACTCAAACTCGGGTCCATCTGAAAATATTGCGAATCACTTTTTATGTCAACAACATTTTCGTTGCTCAAAAAATCATCAATCATGTAATCCAGATCAACTCCAACATCTTTAAAACTCTTCCTTTTATCACTATTCTTCGACATTGACTTCAACTCCATGTATTGAATAACAAACGGTGCGTGCTTCATAATATTCTTAACCGTAACATCCTCACCCCAAGGCAAACCTCGAGCAACCTTCACAAGCCTTTCCAAAAGCTCCTTATACCTCAACTTACAAGTGCCAACCACCACTTGTAACTCCTCCGCGACATCCTCAATCGTCACGTCAACTTGATTCAACTGCGCAACAAACACCAAAACCGCAGCCACTACGGGCAACGGTCTCCTCCCCGTTGTCACGTACCACTTAACCAAACATTGCACCAAAAACACACCCTGTTTCAACATCCTTCCTTTTATATCCTCCTCAACCCCACTAAAAATCGGGGCTTCTTTAATATAATGCTCGAACGAATTAACAATATCAAATTCAGGCAACTTTGTATCAAGAAAATCGACGACCCTATAAACCATTCGACCTAATTCAAAAATATCACATTTCACTACCTCAGCAACTTTAACAATACTCAAATGCTTACTATCTTTCCTCATTAAAACATAGGCACATGCACCAATACATACTTCAAACCATCTACCTTGACCATATTCACCTTCAGTAATTTGAAACACCGTTCTTTTAACATCACTGGATTTATCGGACAATTCTAATTGGAGCATTAAATCTTCAATTAATTTCTCGGCATGATAAATTTTAGATTCTTTATAATTATAAACAGAACCTGAACCAGCAGATCCGTGACGTACGTAAGTTCCACCCGCACCACTTATTCCACCAATTTGAGGGTCGTAATTATCGAAATCTTGCAATATTCCACATGATTTGCAGACGAGATTCCCTGAATCTTCATCTTGAGTTAAAGTCCTTTTGTTACAATTTTTGCAGGGACGAGAATTATTACTCATCTGAATAATTTAGCTTTGTTTGAGGAAGGAAAATTGTGGCTGAATCGTGAAATTTAGAAGATGATTTTAGCGTTTGTTGTTGCCTAGGGTTTTGATAAATAAGAAACGAATTCCTTGTCTTCTGTTTTATGAAACGGAGACGTTCGAACTCTTGTGTTCCGTTTTTCTTGTTTTCCTTTTTTTTTTTTTTTTGTCTTCTATTTTTTCTCTTTGTTGCGCAACATTGTTTTACTGACTCGACCAAAATAAAATACATTTTGTTTTACTGATGCTAAACACTAATTCTAATTTATTTTTGCAGAATTATTATTTAGGAGCTAGGCAGTTATATGTTTTGAGTTATGCAATTTTTAAAATACTAGTCGTAGGGTACGCGCTTTGCGCGTGTACTTACATCAAGGGGTACATAATTTGAAAAAATCACATAATGTGTTTGAGTTATAAAACAGAAGTTTAAAAATGATAAGTTCTTGAAAATAATGAATGTTAATCTCATTTAGCTAACTCAATGAGAAAAGGCTCGCTCCCCACAAAAGTCCTTAGATACCTTATTGTGATTTCAAAATTATTATTTTTTACCTAATATTAAAAACATGTAAATCACAAAAATACTTTTCAAATAAAATAAATTAAAAAGATAAATCTTTTGTTATTTTAGAGATTTGAAAATAAAGAGGTTGCCCTATATCATAGGAAAAATCCTTAGGCAATGATGCTTAGTCTAAAAATGATTAATGTTGAGTTAATATTTTACCAAAATAATTTAATTTATAAAAAATATAGGGAACTATCATGTGTTGAAATGAATGTGAATAGAAACAAAAGTTAATTACAAAATTAATTCAATTTAGAATTTGTCTACTGCTATTTTATCATTATTGATTCAAGTTTGTATTTTTATTAATTTGACTTTTAATACTACAAAGTAACTATTTTTCTTACTTTTGATATCGTCCATTATCACTGCTCTTTTTATAAAAATAAATTTATATAGGTTAAGAGTTTTCTCAACTTGAAAATAAATTTACATTTATTATGAATTTGAAAAGAAATTGAATTTGATACTTTTAATTGCTAATTAGTTAATTAATATAGAAATTAATTATTTGTTCTCAACCTTAAAGGAAATAAATTTTTTTTTATTCAAATTCACATCAGCTCATCCAAGCTTTAAATATTTATATGTAACAATAATTTTATCCTAACATTTATAACATGAAAAATTCTAAAACCCTTGTGTTTTAGTTAATATTAATTTATCTAAAGTTAAATTTAGTTAGATATTTTTGTGATATACTTTAAGTACCTTAATATATGAGTCCGTACATTGTTCAAACAATAATAAATTTAAATAGTCAAAACTTAGAGTTAATTTTAAAGTATTAAAATAATAATTTGTCTAATGTAATTTATCTTCAAAGGATAAATTTATTGATCATTATTTGGCATAACATCTTCTTGCATTTATAATAGTGAGTAGTAAGTAGATGTTTGCAAAACAAAGACAATGAAAGAGGAATCAATTTAGACTTCCAAGAAGAAAGGGATAGTTAAAAATCCGAAAGAGTTGACTTTTTTACTATTTATTTAAGGTAAAATTTAATTGATATAAAGTTCTAATTTTTAGGTAATAATTCAAATTAGGAAAGATTTAATAACCAAATTTCAACGGATTTTTAAGTCCAAATTATTAGGAAAATAATTAAATTACTATTTTGTCTAGTGTAACATTTATTTTAAAAGGGTAAAAAAGGTGAACAACATTTCGCTAAGGGCCTTCGTGCTTTTAATATAGTATATAGTATAGATTACGAGATTGTGTTGGTTGTTATGAAATACGTACTTGATTATGGTGGACGTCCATAACTCCTAAGGGAGTAACACCCACTACTCTTCTTCATTGACCTCCCACTACTTCTTATCATTATGGATGTAACTCCCACACCTCCATGATCTTCCATCATGTTCTCAATAGTTAATACCATGTTCATGGCATCCCTTTGTCTTACCTATATCATCCTATAAATAGAGGGCTTGGGCATCACATTGCACACACTTGAACACTTGATGAAATAAGAAAGTTATCTCTTCTTCTCTTATTCTACTTATCTTCTGGTTTTATATTGTTATTTTGAGCTACATTTCTTAACACGTTATCATCACGGTACCCAAACCATTTATTCACAGGGATCTACTTATGGTATGTAGTACTGTATGACCATTTGAAGTGATATTATAACTAAACTCAATTGTACCTATAATTATAAAGTGATAATATTTATAAAGATTCAAATGTGAATCTTATTGTGCTTTGGCCTATTATGTCGTTGGTTAAGGGAAAGGCATATAACATGCCATTAATTGAGGGTAAGACGGTGGGTTCAAGTCCCAGCGTACCATGAGGGTAAGACATCGAGTTCGAGTCCCGGTGCACCGTGATGATAAGAGTTGGGTTTGAGTCTCAACTCATTATGGCCTAACATGTCGTTATATGGGTAAGACATTGGGTTTGAGTCTCAATGCACCGTATTGATGATATAATGATGACTAATAAAAATAATGTATTTTTCATGAAAAAAGCATGAAGCTTGTCCCACTTGATTTGCTTCATTTTTGAAGTGAATGTGATGATGCATAAGAAGTCTAAATGAAGACAAGTGGTTGACCAATGAACGTGGGCTTTCCAAAGATCAAAGAATAACAGTCACCATCACTACAAGAAAAACGACCATTAACGACGAGAATATGGTCCTTAAAAGTCCAATTCTGGTCCCTAAATATCACTAACGACCGGAAAAAATTAGTCGCAAAACGTCGTTAAAGGCTTCGCCGCAAAAAGTTAATAACGACGAGGTTTCACATCTGGTCCTTAAGGGAAATTAGCGACCGGTAGTATTCTTATCCCTAAAATACGTTTAAGCACCATATTTTTGGTCCCTAAATATGGTGCTTGGTCATTGTTTTGGTGTATTCAGATTACTGGCGACCATTTACCCCGGTCCTAAAAGGTCTTTAAGGACAATAAATCTGGTCCTTAAAGGATCTTTAAGGGCAAGTGTCACGCCCCGAACCATGGCCTGGGCGTAACACGGCACTCGGTGCCTGACTGCATGTGACCGAGCGAACCAACTGTATGGCTGGATCAACATGTGGTATAACTATGAGCTAGAGGTAAATGTAAAACATGATAATCTGCTACAAAGTCTGACTGAAATATCATAGATGCGGAAAATACTGAAATGTCTGCAAGTATAAACAAGTAGCCGACAAGGCTAACACGTGAAAGCCGGCTAATATCTGACTGACTGGGTTATAGTCTATGAAGCCTCTAAGGAATACTGAAAATGCCAACTGTTTACCGGGACAAGGTCCCCGGTATACCTTATTAACTGAAATACTATAATGACTAAAACAAAAGAGAGATAAGGCCCCGAAAGACTGGGGCTCACCAACAACTGATACGAGATGTCCTAACAAGCAGAATCGTCAACCTAAAAATCGTTACCTGCATCGCAAGATGCAGGCCCCAGGCAAAAGGGACGTCAGTACATTTGAATTGCACTGGTATGTAAAATAGCTGAACAAAAGAGCTGTAAATACTGGAACTGAAACTGAACTGCTAGCTGATAAACTGATAACTGAACAAGGAAGTAAGGATGTGAATACTCCCTCTTCTGAATGATGAACAACCTATTTAACTGAATATTAAACTGCGGCCTCAGGCCCAATATANTTCTATTTTTTGGTTGCCCAATATATATATATATATATGTGTGTGTGTGTGTGTGTGTGTGTGTGTGTGCGCGCACAACTGCGGCCTCGGGCCCAAGTATATGTATACATAACTGCGGCCTCAGGCCCGAATACAAGTGTTCAACATTCACGAATATAAAATCAGGAACTGAGAATCATATTACAATACATGATACTGAAATAATGAGCCATACTGGGTTACATGATACTAGAATAGTGAATAGGATTAGACTGAGATGAGTATTCATAATAAGTTGATTTGTCATAACTGAAACTCATAGAATATCGAATGATTATGAGACTATGCCGTCTAGAGAATAGAAGTCCTACTACTATTCAGGGAACTAAGACATAGTTTCTTTCTGAGGAAACTGGTCATGATCATAATGAATGGGACGTAGGGAGAATCATAGACATTCCTAAACGTAAAGAGTTAGCCTTACATACCCTAACTTCCGGCTCTTGAGCGTAATCAACCCTTTCAACTTTAATCTATAGCAATACAAGTCAAAGGGATTCCATATTAGCTATAATGCTCATGTTTTGGTCACTTAAGCATTTTATCAAACACTTGGTGAAAATAAAGCTTCATAGTCCTTATTAATGGTGTTTCTACGCCCAACAACCCATTCTCTTGATCCTAGATGGATTCTAAGGTCTCAAATGGTTATAATCCATATTATTCTTTATCACCCATAAGGTAAACAACACCCTTAACCAATAATAAACACTCAACACCCCAAACTTATAATCGTTCATGTTTTTCTATCAAACCCATCAACTCATATCTCATGAACTAGGGTTTAAAATCATTAAACAAATACTAGAGTCAATTTGAGGGTGAAGACATTACCTTTTCGAAGTTCAAACCCTTGATTTTCGAGTTCTAGGCTTCCTTCTCTCAACAATGATGTCCCAATCGAATATCTAATGATATGGAGGGTTTACCCATGTTAATAAGATGTTGGGAAAGTGAAATTAACTTAGAATCACCATTAGAACTTACCTTGGGTGGTGGAAGGACCCTTAAGGAGTTAGGTTTTTGAGAGTTCCCCTTTCTAGAGCAAGTTTTTATGTTTTGGGGCTGTGGGGGACGAAATATAGCTTTAAAACGACCCTCCACTAGCGCGTTCGCACACCTGGAGGCTTGTTCGCGCTAAACGGCAGTAACACTGCCTCCCACTAGCGCGATTGCGCACCTGGAGGCTTGTTCGCGCTAGTGTTCGCGCTACCGGGCGCGCATATGCGTACTGTTCTGAAAAACGCATATAACTTTTTGCACAGAGATCCGTTCGGGCTCCATAATATATCGTTGGAAAGCTCTTTCAAAGGCCTACAACCTTCAGGCTTTGCGTTTTCCCTAATTCCTTACATATTTTCACTAAAACTTGATGGAAGATAGACCTTCTGCAAACTTAGTCGATTTTGTCAAATCTTATGCACCTCTCTTTCCATCTTGATTTTTGAAACAACTATTTTACCCACAATCATCCCGTTGGGACTTCACATGTTCAAAATATAACCTTACCCCTCATTTACCACATTCACACCTAAGCCGAATTTACGGGGTGTTACAACAAGTTCTCCACCAGCCCATATTATCTTTTTCAATCCTATTCACTAAAATATGATACAATTTATAGTATTATAAATCAATTGGATTCAACAAAATTATCGTTAGTATCTTTGTTTATTGTTTACACAACCTCTTTGTAAAAGAGCTAAGATCCATAGCAAAAAGTATAAAATTTTGCCAGCAGTCTTTGCAAAATAATAATCAACTCGTCAACTTGCATGAAGTCTTCAACCTACATCTTGATGTGTAAACTAAATCTCCAAAACCTGTGAAAAATATAAAATTTTCTATGAAAAAGCTATAAAGATGAACTAGAAAATTGGCTAATCATCTAAATTAAGAGTAATAGTAATTAAACCACTCACATGTCAGATTCTATCAAGTATAATTATATGCACCTTCAAAATTTTAATCAACAAGGGAAAATTGACTGCAAAAAATATACACAATAATAAATTAGAATGTCAAACAAACAATGTTAGAGTAGAAGCTAACATTCTTTTTAAACTTGACATAAATTATTTGAAATGAGCAAAACTTTATAAACTGATCATTAAACACAAAGAAACATGAAGCTGGAATTTAACATGGTATGGATCCAAATTCTAGTCTATATATAATGTTGAGATCATGTATTTAAAGCTAAGCCATAAACAAATATCAAATGTGCTAACTATATGAAAAAGTAGCTTCATATAAACAGGATCAAATCTCAAAATAAACCAGAAGACATAACAATTTTCAAAGATGCACAGTCAAATAAAAAATATAAAACAAGAAAGAGTCCACAAAACTGATCAAGTAATTGAATGCGGGGAACATTAGATTAACGGATTTAGTGTAAACTTACATGATCAGTAATCTTTAACAATTCTTCAACTATGGCATGTCTAGTGCATCAGTAAAGAAGAAGAATCAGAAGTTAATGGACACTGTAAATGAAATGAATGAACTCCAAAATTTCATACGATAGAGAAAAAGAATAATGGATAGGACTTGAAATGTTGCTTACTCTATACCCGTAGTACTCCAATAACAAGGGCAGTTCCTCCATGGATTACCATCTTTCAGCTCCATTGCTGCCTACTCCATCAGTGGTAAAAAATTTCTAACGATAGAAAGAAAGAATTTTACTATAATCTACTACTCAAATTATCAAAAGTATTCTTCAGACTTATATTACATTATGGTAAAATAATTAGAGTCACCATTCATTAACCATTAGCGCCAGCTCTTAAATTGCTCTAACATTTCTTAAATCGATATTATGCTTAAGTAAAAATCTGATAAATCTAATGCAGTGTTTCTACTTAAAAAGACGTACTTGTCTGTAAAACGAAGATCCATTCAACACTAGCCCGTTACTATACATAATAGAATCAAGTTTATTAAGGCAATAAACTAAAATAATGAGACTTTTAAAGAGTAGGAAAAATGGCACTTGACCTCAAAATGAGCCGATTTCACCCACCAAAGCTCAAGGGCAGTGACAATATAGACATAGACAACTGTTAATGACTATATTGTAACTGGCCAGCACAAGAGTAAAAGAATGATAATGCCAAGAGAACAGAATGAAACCTTAAATAAATTTGGCATGACCAACTGAATCAAAATATAACAAGTAGACCAAGACAAAATATATTTTTTTCCAGTTGGCAACATAAACCAAACTATTAGCTAAGTTATCAATCATTAAAAGGACAATTAAATAGAGCTAGAGCAAAATTTTAGAACTTCACTCTTTTGCCACCAGCAGCATGCTTCCTCCTTCCCATCCCATACCATCCCCTGCCCCCAGAACCATGAAGACGCAGAAGGCACAGTCTAGTAGCACGAGTATCCCAAATGATATCAAGCATCAACTTATTCCTACTATAAAGAGACTAATTTTAGCACGCAAAACTACAGAAGCAACCATCGTCCAAACAAAGTGGTGTGCGAACTAGAGAATGTCAGAATCTAATTAATTGGATTACTCGCACAATAAGACTATAATAAAGAAAGCACCAAAAATCTCGAGCTTCACCCAAACTGTAGGACTCTATTGTATCAAATTATGACACTTACACTAGAATCATCATCTCCATCTAGTTCTCAAACATATTCAGGAAAGGATGAACATATACTTACCTAATTAATGAATCCCAAAAAGAGTATCTCTTACTAAAATCACTATACTTCCCCAAAGCTCATCCATGACATAGAACAACCAAAAATCCAGATCTTCATTATCGCAATTGCCCACGAGATCTTGGTCCCAAAAAAGTTGAGAGTCCTATCATCACGAGCTGTAGGGTGAGTAATTGCTAAGAGGAAACAATACAAACCTAAATGCTCCAAATAATGTAATAAAGGACGAATTCGCCAACTCCCAAAATATATAGCCAGATCTGAAGAAATATGAGATTTTATTTCGATCTTTCCAGGGTTTGGGGAAAGTAGACTTACTCACATGTGATCTACCCATTTTTTCTCTCGTTGGTATTCCAGATTGGCATACAAAATTATAATCGGCAAACCCTCGCCACTCTTTCATAAATAAATCCCAAAAATCACAAAATATACAATTTTATTAATTACATAGAAAAATGATTTTAACTAGGAAAAAAGAAGAAGAAATTTTTTGATAGAAAAGGACTTACATTTCTTTTGTAGTTTTCGTGCCTAAATCATCGGCTATGGAACCAATGGAGATCGAGTTTTTAGGAAGTTTTCGCAGAGATCATCTCCGGAACTAGAGGGCTTACATGGGTTAGTAGCAGGAATTGTTAGATGGAGTGTATCAAAAATGGTTTAGGGATTTGAAGAACCAAATTTTGACAAACGAGAGGTTTAATTTGGTAATAAAGAGAGGTTGAATGTTTTTTTAATTTGATTGTCACTTCGGTAGCGCCTTACTCTCTAGTCTCTCCGCTAATTTTACAGTAGAGACCAGATATTTACTACTTTACAGACCGGATTTTGTCTCTTGGTCAATTTAGCGAGAATTATGGGCCAGAAAATAATCTTGTCCCTATTTATATACATTTAAGACTAGATGTTCTAGTCGTCCTTAATTTTTGGTCCCTAATAAACCTTTTTCTTGTAGTGTATTATGGTAATTGTAAAAAGGAGAACAATATGGATTCTCAAAATAATTCTTCAAAGGTGAAGAAAATATGTTTCAATGTGGTCTGTTAATACGAGACACGCTCGCATGATTATAGTGCATTCCTTGAAAATGTGACTTATAATAAGCATTGTAAATGCAGATTCATTCTGATTGAATAAATGCTACAACTCACCTCTACGGAGGTTTGAGAGAAAAAAAAGACAATGAACATTACTGTATGGTTACATGAATATGTCATTGGTCGCGTACATGTGATACACCAAAAATATTTTGATATGCCCTTATAAAAGGTTATTAAAGGCAAAATATTAAAGCAAGAAATGATTTTGCTTATGATGATTTTGACCATGACAACTATTATGATATGATTTCCGTGAAGGAGACATTCACCATATGGATGATGTGATAAAAGATCTTGTAGTACAAAATCAGTTAAGAGCTCCGAAAGAACTAATTTATTACTACTTTGATGAATGAAATTGTTCGTGACATTAATATTGTAGTAAGTCTCAAAAGAAACTTTTTGAGTTTCAAATGTATTAGCCAAAGTGGTTGTCATATTGAGACTATAAATGAAAGGAAGATTGAACATCTTCATATTACTACAATCATACTGGGTAAATCTAAAAGGTTACCGAACTTTTATTCTATTTGTACTACAGAAGTATAAGCATGGTGATAGAATCACATGCCATAGTAAATTAGATGTTTACTGAAATAAATATCAGTTGGCATGACCGGTCGGCCATTGCGCTTTAATTATGATGCGAAAAATGATTGAGAATTCACATTGGCATATATTTGAAGAATTAGGAGATTCTTCGAGAATTCCCCTATATGACTTGTTCTCATGATAAATTGATTACTATACCAGCTGGGGTTGGGATTGTATTTCCTGATTTTTGGAACGTATAAAATGTGATATATATATATATATATATATATGGGCCCAGTCACCTGCCATGTGGACCATTTACTATTATATGATTTCAATAGATGCATCTATTGTATGGTCACATGTGCGTTTGTTATCAACTTGCAATTTAGATTTTGCAAGATTGATTGCTCAAATTATTAGAGCAGAGTCCGGAATATAAATTTATCTTGATAATGCTGGTTTAAATCCAAGTTGGTTTAGCAGAGATTGTATGCCTCCAATTACAGCTAAACCATTGGTTATGAGAACAAAATTACCAAAAAAAATTTGGTATGAGATGTATTATTTAATATAGAGCAGCACTTGTACGCATCTAGGCCAAGTTATGATAAATTCTCCATGTCACAATTGGTTTAGGGCCAGGAACCAAATAATTTTCATCTTGAAATATGGATGTGCTATATGATTTAATTATGACACCACAATGCACAAAGATGGGTTCCCAAAGAAGGTTGGGAAATGTGTTGGTGATCCTAACATTAGGGGGGAAAATAGGCAGCTGAAATAGTGATACGTGAAATGAATTATTATGAATGCTCCAAATAGAATAAAGTCCATGATGGATAAAGTTTATGACACGCATGAAGCGTAATAGACTAATCGGTTTCAAAGATAAAACTCCTTGAAGAAGGAGATGAGCAAATGTTCAAGATGGTCACAATAAGGAGGCAAGTGCTTTATAAGAGCACCATGACATAACACTTTATATGACCTCATGGGAGAGTCTCAGGTACCTGAAAATAATGAGATAAAGAGATCTCAATAAGTTATGTCTTTAGTGGGTAACGACGGAACCGATGTAAAATGATCGTCGAAGATATTGTTGATATAATGTAGCGGTCAATATTATTAATATTGACGAGGATCTTGAGCTCAAATCTGTCATGGAATTTGGACAGATAAATGATTGGCCAAATGAAAAATGTGCGATAAAAATTCACTTTACCTGAAAAATATGAAATTGGACGAATAGTCCATTGCGCAAAAAGTGAAATGAAAAATCAAGTCGATAGACATAAAAGATGACTTGTGGCACACGATTTGTCGTAAATATCCTGGTATTAGTTATATGGAGACAGGTTCTCCTGTGGTGGATGAAATTATTTTCATGTTTTAATATGGAAATACACGAAAAACTTGATATGTGTATAATGAAAATTCTTGAAGGATTTAAACTGTTCTGAAGCATATAGAGGTTCCCGAAAATTTTGTTAAATAAAGCTTCGGCCATCCATATATGACATATAAGATTTATTTTTGTGTCTTAGTGCACTGGGTGCACTTATGTTTCTTGCTAGAACCTTGAGTATAACGTTATACTAGCAAGATTTAGAGGGTGTTTGGATTGGCTTATAAAAAGTAGCTTTTAAGCAAAAAGCCAAAAGTCATAAGTTGGTAATACCCAACTTTTGGCTTTTGGCTTATTTTTGTACTTTTAATGCCTAAAAATAAGTGCTTTTAAGCACTTTTTATCATTGCCAAACACGAAACAAATTAAAAAAGTGCTTAAAAGCCAATAAGCACTTAAAATAAGCCAATCCAAACACCCTCTTAACTTTAATTCGATATGGAGACACTGGAATGCAATTAGTAATATATTACAAGAGAATCATTGATAGATTTGTTTATTCTAATAAATATTGTTAAAGTTTTGTTGGTTATGTAAATGCAGGGCATTACATGAAGTTCGTTCTTCATACCAAGATACTAACATCTTATAAATTAAGTGACTCAACACGAATGAGACGTGTGATTTTTTTGAAGAGAAGATTCCAATAATATTAAAGACGGTGTAGCTTGTATAGCTCAATTGAAAGAACGATATATTGAAGAAGACAAAATAAAGCACATTTAGCCAAAGTTTCTTTGCAGAGACGATCTTCAACAGAATGATGAAATAGATATTTAAGAAATTCGAATTTGGCGGAATAATTCACCAAGGCATTGCCAATCTCAATATTAGAGAAGTTATTATACAAGCTTGGAATTTGTCGTCTCCGAGAAATAAAGTGATATTTTCATCAGGGAGAGGCAAATACGTGCTGTACTCTTTTTTCCTTAGCTAAGGTTTTATCCCATTGGGTTTTTCTGGCAAGGTTTTTAATGAGCCAGCGAGTAATGCGTATTACAAAATATGTGTACTCTTTTTCCTTCGCTGGGATTTTTTCCCACAGGGTTTTTTCCTAGTAAGGTTTTAACGAGGCACATTATCTTTGGACATCCAAGGGGGAGTGTTATGAAATACTTGATTATGGTGGATGTTCATAACTCCTAAGGGAGTAACACCCACTATTCTTCTCCATTGACCTCCCACTACTTCTTACCATTATGGATGTAACTCCCACACCTCCATGATCTTCCCCCATGTCCTCAAAGTTAATACCATATTCATGACATCCCTTTGTATTACCTATATCATCCTATAAATAGAGGGCTTGGGCATCACATTGTACATACTTGAACACTTGATGAAATAAGAAAGTTATCTCTTCTTCTCTTATTCTACTTATCTTCTTGTTTTATATTGTTACTTTGAGCTACATTTCTTAACACTGGTATAGATAAAAATTTACATAAGTGCGTCGGGTGTCTATATGTTATATCAACCCAATAAATGTATATCGCAATGATAGTTAATTAATACTCCTTCCGTTTTAATTTAGATGAGGTAGTTTGTCTCGGCACGGAATTCAAGAAAAAAAAAAGACTTTGAAATTTGTGGTCTTAAGGACTTAAGGGATAAAAACTTTGTGGGGCCATGACATTTGTGTGGCTATCAAAACTTCTCATTAAGGGTAAAATGAAGAGTCTAAAATTGAATTATTCCCAAATTTAGAAATGTGTCATTTATTTTGGAACAGACTAAAAAAGAAAGTACCTCGTCTAATTTGAAACGGAGAGAGTATATATTCTTATCTTAATTTATTATTTAACCATGATAAACTTAGTATGATTTGTTATAAATACTCGGTGCGAGAAATAATTTATGACAATATATAATTTAAGCTCATAGTCGAACCTGATTCTCATTATCATCTATAACACTTTTAATTTCTAGGAATTATTTGTTTCCAATTGACCATATTAGAGGTGGATTTCCTTTGGAAAATTATAATGTGAGATCTATAAATGCCTTATTATCTACTACCAGCAAAAATTTGAGAGGTTCGGTTTGCAAAAAATGGCTTTGAATTCAATTGGAAGTTTACTAATTTTGTTGCTCTGCAAAAAATGGTTATGAGTTTGGCCTAATCGAGTAAATTTGGTCCGAACCTGTATCTATCTTAAGAAATTTATTGTATATATATAAATTATTAAATTAGAATCTGATAACTTAAAAAGACTAAAATCCTGAACGCATAAGTTTAAAATCCCGACTATGTCTGTGATTGGATTATGGTGTTACTGCAGTTGGATATGAGGCGATTGCAGATGATATTAAATATTTGATTGTGAAGAATTCGTGGGGAATTAGATGGGGTGAGAATGGATAAATTATTTCTTGTTTCCGAGGGCGAATCTATTAAAGCAAAGAGACATTGACGTTGATGCAGGACTTTGTGGAATTGCTATCAAACTTACTTGTCCAAATGCAAAGAGACACTAATTCTTATTTCAAAAACCATTTTTTTTGGATGATATTTCAGGTTTATTTTTTTTTTCATAATCTGTTCAATAAATTGAGAAGTAAAATGGTGAGGAACCAATTTTCATTCAACTGCATTGGAGGTTTTTTTTATTTTTTTGGTAATTAATTAAGATTTTTATTAATCATCAAAGGAGTTATATGTAAGGTGTGGATGTATTGACTTTGGTTAGTGACTTTGGTTTTTATTATAAGATACAATTCTCTACTTCTTTTCTTCTTTGAGAGAATTTTTATCATTCTTACTTTTGGGGCTTTCTTTATTTTGCAGTTCATAGTTCTCCTGGGGTATAGGT